GTCAAGCACACCAACATGAGCTAGAGTGGATTTCAGTTTGCTTTTTAGCGTCAGTGGTGATTTAAGTAATGAGTTCTACTCTATGGTTAGTAGGTCAACATTTGTGGTTTCTATTTAATTTGCCAGAATTTCCTTTCTTTTGTTTTGTCTTTTCTTTTTTTAGACATGACTTCTGTTACCTCTAATGCCATCCTTTTCCTTGCTGCAATTGGTGAAAACTTTTTTTGTTTATTTTAAAGTCTTCTGAAGTAGTATAAATATACTCTGAGCCCCTAATTATGGTATTTTTTTTCTGTGCCACCTGCAAGTATTTTACTTTTTTAGCTGTGCAGTTAATTTTCTTTAAGTTACAAATTTTATGTAGTTTCCCTTTTTAGAACTTAATGCTATGTAAAGTACTCTTTGCTCTTTCTCTTCTCCGAATATATTGAATTTGCACAAGAATTGTTATAGGCTGCTTTTCTGTTGTTTGTAGAGACAGCAAGTAAAATTTCCTCTCTGCGCCATCTTCTAAATGGTTGCTCCAAAAAGCAGATTTTTATGAAGTCTGAAAAGATATTATCAGCATCACAGCTCAGTGAAACTTTCACAGTGTTAATATGGGCTACTCCAGTCTCCTATTATTATTTCGTTTCTTGTCCATGCAGATGTGGAATGGATGAATAAACTATGTCTTATAGTTAATACATGGATTCAGCAAATTAGATTATTTTAGTTCAATTCATACCTTTTGCAGTAATAATTGGTAAATCCTGTGAAAGTCTTTCAAAAATTTAGTCTAGTGGGGACACTGACAAGACCAGGCAGCCTTTGACTGGATATAGTATACATGTTTTGTTACAATTTTTTTTTTCTCCCAAATAAAATATTTCAATAAAACAGCAATGAATGAAAAAATATTTTGTTCATTAAGTTCTCCATTTACCAGCCTGGTAATGTAAGTGACTATCTGAATTTTGTATTTGTTTACAACAGATTAGTCACAGTGGGCTTTTCTATGTTGATGAAATTTGGTAGTATAATTTTGAATTTAAATGAAAACTAATGTTTTCAATCAGCTTTTTTTCATGTTGAATAATAGAGATTACTCTTCCCATATATTGGAACATCTAAGTTTTCCTATACATCTTATGTTCACATGGGTGGTGAACTGACTAGAAGATGAAGTTCATTAATAGAACATAGAAAAGCTTTCAGCAGGGCCTGGTTACTCAGCTTACGTATATCAATTTAGTAACATCAGTTCCACACTGCTATGATAATTTACACCAGCTGAGGTTCTGGGCACTGATCCTTTTTATTGTGTCTTGACTTTTCTAGCACGTAGGTTAAGCAACATTTGATAACCATATGTTTAGTGTATTGTGCCAGTAGAATAGGACTTAGAAGGTGGAGTGTGGGAAGAGTGGGAATTGCAAACGTGTATTGTTAGATTTTATTGACTTCAGAATATGGCATAAATACAATGTCAGGTTCTCTATAAAACAAGGCCCCCATGTGGAGTCAAGACATACAATGATATCCTGTAAAAATTAGTAAAGAAGTCTTAAAATTAGATTTAATTGGTTGTATTTTCTTCTAAGATTATATCTTAAAAAATTTTGCAATCTCAAAGTAAACTCTTAAAAATGCAAAGCCAGCATGTAAATGTGCATCTATGCATCAGACTTCTGAAATGTGTTTGAATCTTTGTATTTCACTTCAGCATCCATAAACAGGCAGAAAGCTTTTCACTGTTTGTGCAGAGTGGAAGGCAGAAGAGCTTCTATAAGGATCTCACCCATTGTGCTAGTGTGATTGAAGGGAGCTGTAAAATAGTAACTGCTGATTATGCACACTACCTAGGTGTGAGAGTATTCTGTGAATTTCAGCTTTCTTTGGACGCTTGGGTGATCAGTGTACATCCTTTAAGGAAATCTGCAGGGAATGAGTGTGGATGATGGTCAGTGGGGCAGAAAGGAACTACAAAAACAAACATGGATGGAGAGCTGAGTGCATTCCAGTGGAAAACTCAACTGTATAAAAAGAATTGGGCATCTGATTGTGTCAATCTTTTCATGTTTCATCTGTTGCATGTAAAAAAGCGGCTGTTTTTTCAAGTCTAAAAAAAGTACTTGCCTTTAGAACAGAATGACTTCTTCTGAGTTGACAGGAGAAGAAGTTACAGTAAATTGGAAAATATTTGGGTCTGCAAACTTCTTTCTGGAAGTTTCGAAGTCCAGAGAGCCTGCTCGCAAAACCTTGAGGTTTAGCAAACTCCACTGTGGTATGAAGTTTAAATGAGGAAGTATAGTAACACACCATGAAGTGTCCCTTGGGTTGTGAAAAATCACTTCTGTGCTACTTCTGGTTTAGTTAGTTATTATTTCAAAGCCAATTAGTGTTATTTTTCTAGATTAGTATTTGACACAAGTCGTCTAGCAAATCTTTTTCTTTTTTTCTTCAGAAGGTAAGAATGAAATAACTCTTGTGAATATAGGCAGTTGTGCTTTCATGCCAGTATCAAACCCTCACATTTTAAAAACAACCACCTAACAAACATTTTCATTTCAGTATTCATCTAGGACCTATTACTGCAGATACTCTGAACTGGTCCTTAGTGTAAAAAATGATGACAGCACATCACTAATTTAGTAACCTTTTGATTACACAGACAGAAAAAGAAAAAAAAAACCAACATTTTGATCAACTTTGGTTATCCAAATAATTTATCTGCAAAATTTGTTTCACTAAATCTGTTGGCAACTGCAGTCACTGAAATATAGTTTAAAGCAATTGTATTTTTCTTGGCTAGAGGCTACCTTGGTAACTTGTATTTGCCCACAAATGCACGAGACTCAGTGCTAGTGCCATCATTTCCTTGAGCATGTGTTTCTACTTTTAAACCCAAGTGCTGTCCTTACAATGTAATGACCTTCCATCACATGGCAGAGCCCTAATCCAAGAGGCTGCGTGAAGAAGATTACAGACTGACTTCAGTGAGCTCCAGGGTCTGATGGCAACAGTCTTCCAGTAGAGGGGGTGTGGTGGACATCCTCTGGGTTGTGGGTCTGAAACATCTTAGGTTACTCAGCCATATTTGTCAGTTTAACACCAGCGGGCAGCTCTGTCCTGAGAGACACCTTGCTTTGTTATCCTTCCGTGCAGCCCTTACTTCTCCCCTCGTGTGACAGTCAAGGAGGCTGCTGCTGGAGCCGGCAACAGAGCTTCCTTGCCCCGCTTTTCTAATACTGTGATCAGTGCCATTAACTCAGTATAGTAATGGGGATGAATTCAAGCTGCTGGAAAAGTTGCAATACATGCCTTAGTATTTTGGTTTTTATGGCATATAATTGTACTAACATATCAGATACTGGTGTGGCACTGAGATACCAATGCTAAAAAGTTGGTGTGTTGCTATTAAAATACTGGTTTGTTGAAGCCCCATTTATTTCAACTTCTATGTTTTCTAAATTTGTTTGAAGGGAAGTGAATGTCAAATACCATGCTTCATTTTCAAATGTTATTGGTACAATTCTACTTCAATGAAAAGAGATTTAAAATTTTTCACAGTGTTGTTTCTGGGTTCGCAGAAATTCTCATCTCAAAACCATTTTTTTCCCTAATATTTGTTACTAAACATTCTGGTTTGAATTCCTTTCTAAAAAAATAAGAAAGTCTGCCTGATCATGGTTAAATTTTGAATTATGTGACTTGATACAACTCGGGTTTTTTTCTATTATAATTCATTAATAGATAAACAAAACTGTTATCAGTAGACATTATAAGAGCTACGCAGAGATGTTGCAGTTTGTAAATGGGCTTTGAAAGCCATTTTTTCTTCTTTCCTCTCTTCATTCCTTCTGCCCATAGAGCCTTACACAGTGAGGCTCCAGTTGCCTGTCTAGGGCCTCTACTGCCTACCATGTTGTGAGTAACCATTCCTGTGATTATGCTGCATACTTATGGCACAGTCTCTGCTAAAAGAAATGAAGAGTATTTTGAAATAATTACAATTGATAAAAATGTGCAAACTAAGTTAGGACTAAGTATTTCTGTTGATATATGGACAGTAGCAGGAAACGAGGGATGTAGTTTTGGATGTAAAAACTAAAATTCTAGTGGACAAGTCAAACATGAGTAGACTGTTGGGTCAAATACCTTTGAAGACTAAAATTTTAATGGAAACAGTAAATTGTGGTCCAGTTTAACCTGAAGGCTGCTGTTCTCTTCTAAGAGACATCAAAAACTTGTTTTGATATTGTACTTTCTATTTTGAAAAGTGATTGGAATATACTACCAAATTAAAATTTTTCTCAGTCTTTCTGGTTCTGTATTTATGTCTCGACAGTGGTTGCAATGTCAGTAATGATTGGTGTTTCCTAGAAACTTCATCATATTTTATGTATAATACTTGCTACTATCCTATTAACATTAGTGTCTTAGTCTTCTGTGTTTAATTTTTAAAAAACTAAGCAATTTTGGAAGAATTTTTATTTTTGTAGGATTTTCTTGGTCACAAAGAGATGCTGTGCTATAGCTTATGGTTGAGAGGAATGTTTAGGATCTGTAAATTTTTATGTTTAATTTGTGAAGTTACAGTAGTATGGTGACAAATTCTATATTTTAAGTGTTTACCAATAGGAGTATAATAAAACATACATTTTTAACATTGAAATACAAACACGATTTCTTATTTACTTTTGCTGTTTTGGATATGTTTTTGAGCACACGTTTCATATGCTTTGCTGTTTGCCTCAAGTCAGTACAATTGTTCCCCAGACCTCCCATGCTGTTAAAGGTATGGGAAGAATGGTAGCTTCCAAGCACCCCTAAAGAAAACACTTTCAGGTCATGTCATATAACCTGTATTATAAGAACAGCTGTGGGTAAGATTCTAAAAATGAATATCCTGATTTTTTTACATGTTTTTGTTTGGTTTAGTTTGGTTTGGTTTTTTAGATGTGAGACAGAGAATTGTCATAATATAATACATTGGTCTCTCTTTTTTTTCTTAATAGATAAAAAAATATTTTGAACTTGAGCCACTTGCACGTGGAAAGCGCTGGATTCTTAAACCCTGCTCCTTGGATGATATGGAGGCAGTAAAAGACAGCTTCTCCCTTCTAATAAACTTGCTGGAAGAGAGAGACTTCGAACCTTCAAGAATGTGAAAGCCAAGAGAAAGAAGAGGTTCCCACGCATCGCTGTACCTGCTCACTGTCACAGCTTAATTACAGTGTAGTATCAAGGCTGAGCTGTGATATGTTGTTCATACAGAGTTAATGCAGAATGTCCTTTGGTTAAAATAAATGTTCTGTGAATCAGGTACACAGCTATTTCCAGTAAAGTTGTCTACACTACTGAAGTAGAAAGTTCCTCTTTGTTTACCACTATTTCTGCACACTGCATGTTGCTTTCTTGCACTGCGATCATCCTTGGTAGAAAAATTTACACGCACAAAAATAACATAGTCCATAAAGGATGAATTCCACGTGTTACCTTGAATTTTAAAAATAAGTAATGTTTCTAAAGAATTTATGAGTATAATTTAGCTCATTTATTAACCTCACATTATGGAAAAGCACAGCCACTGAGAACCTTAATAGGATACCTAAAACGCAAGCAGTTTCATGTTAATGCAAAGGCTATTCCTGAAGTTTTACTAAGTGAAAACACAGCTGAAGTAGTGGACTCCACAAGGTAGTTGAGTCTCTTCTAAAGTCACTGCAAAACCCTGCCAGAGGCAGTATGGTATTTTGCTGGAAGTTTGCTGAAAAATAAATTAACAAACAGGTATGCACAGATAACAGTACTTGGGGAAATGAGCTGATATAAACAGGTGATCTAAGTAAAAAGATTTTTAGAAATATATTAAAGATTTTAGAAACAGAAGTTGAATAAAGTAATAATTTTCATTGAAAGTAGTTTTCCATAAGAAAAGCAGAGCAAATATCTGTTAGTTCATCTGTGGAGGCTTTATTGCTAGTTAAAAGTATAAGTAATTTTAAATACTTCCTTTATCACTCATTTGTAGACTACTATTGTTATTGTAACATTGCCAAGGCATCTATCCAGTAATTAAGGGTCTTCCAGTGTTTGTACTATAAGCTTCTCTTTTCAAGGGGATTATATCTTCTTTCAAACTTCCTCTGGGCTAATTGTTACTGAGAAGACGAAAAAGTAGTCATTGGAAACAACATTTGCAATACATTTAGAAAAAGTTCATTTGGGTCACGTAACACAGTCCACTTTTCCTCTTTCTGTGTTTTCCCCACTGTAGATTTGCAGTATTTTGGCTACCTTTTGTTGATTTTTAAAAAACTCATAAACTGATGTTGTCCACTGAAGAAACGTGCCAGGCCACTGGTTCACAGTGACAACAGAGTATGTGCAGATCAGTCACTGGACTGGTGCACCCCTTGAATGCTGTGCCTTGTGCATGAGTGTCTGCAAACACAAACTCGAGTGAGGTGTCATTAGTTCCTCATCAACTCTGCTTCTGTCTTGAAACACACAATGCCTTGTTTTTGGGGCTTTAAGCAACATTTCTTTCCACTCTGAGCATTTATCTTCTGTTTTAAGTTTATTGTAGTTTCTTACTAGTTTATTTGGGGATAAGAAAATAGTAAACATCAGCTTTTGAAGGCTCATAAAAGCCATTTCTCTATTAATCGTAATTTTGCTCTTTGTTAAACAAAATGTCTCTCATAGGTATTTTAGTTTACTTTTCAATTTCCATGAATTTCTTGCATTGCTCCCACTGTTGTAACTGCTTCCTTTTGTCAAAAAGAAGCTGGGAAAACTGGTAAACTCCTTGTTTAATTTTGAGATGGAATAGGCAGGAAGCCTGAAGGGCATGTCTTGCTTTGTTTTATGTTCTCTTTCCTGTCAGGTCAATCGTCTCACTGTTAATACTCTTGGAAATAACCAAGAACTGGAATTGTTCTTATTAAAGTGCAGAGGAGCCCTGCTTTGATTCAATTCTCTTTGCACACTTTAGTCAGGACCAGCTGCCCATCAGTTTCTCTTGTGAGGGCTAAGGAGGTTCCCTTCCCTGGATTTAAAGAGGAACTGGATCTAATTTACATTTCCAAACTCTCTTGTTGCTGACATGAGCTTAAAGGCTACAGAGTCCCCAGATTTCCACAAGGTCCCCAGATTTCTGTTTTATTTAGGCATGATGAAAAATAAGCAGGGAGGAGGAGTAGGAACATTATTTCCCAGACAAGGCAGGCAGTTTTGGGAGGCAAAATGAGGGATTCCAAGATTTTAATGCTTTTTCATTGGCCACTAGTTAGAAGACGTGAAATAACTTTTTTTTTTTTTTTTTTTTTTTTTTTTTTTTTTTTTTTTTTTATTATTATTATTCCCTCCTGCTTTTGTTTAGTTATGGACCAAAAGGTACAGGAAATGAAAATAAGCCCAACTCTATTGCATTCTTGAAACTGGACTATTTCTATCATCAGTGAGTTTGTTTGGTCAAAAAACTTTAGTGGCTCTAACTTTTGGTCATGATCTCCCAGCTATGCACTGTTTGAAGGTGCTACATAAGTTACATGGAAATGCCCAAGAAGTCCTTGATAATGTGGTTTTGGAGAATGCCAGTGGCCATTTAGACTAGGACCTTTTGATACTTCAATGTTTTTTCTTTAGGCACATGTCAACTGCACAGAAGCAGTAATTTTAATTTTCAGAATTATAATTATTTTGAGTATGCTTTTTCTTACTAATATAGTGATCATTCCTCATCACATGTTGGAACAATACCTCATAACTGCTGAAGGCTAAGACCAACACTTTACTTTGAATGTAGTACTTCTGTGGTTTTGTGTTGTAGATGGACTTAATGGATGTGTACCTTTTAAATGTCTATAAACAACTTCACCTTTTTATGAGGGGATAACAATGTTCATAGCAGCTCATGTCACACTTCTTTGTCTGTAGTGTTATTGAATGCTCTGGCTATGGTAGAATATGTAAGCACCATGCAGTTTTCAGATAACCAATCTTAACTGCTTTGGTTTTTTGTTTGTTTGTTTTAATCTTTTCACATGTGTTTGTCATTTAGGTGGAATATACTTGGGCACTAGGCTCTTCTTTTCATGCAAGTTCATTAAGGAGTGAACATTGTCTTTTTAAAAAAAGATATTGTGCTTTAATGTTCTTTAGCCATCTGTTAAATTACTCTGTGTGTGTGTGTGCCCACACTGGGCTTCTTCTCAGACCTGTGGCTGTCTGTGGTGTCTCAGCCGTCAGAATGAAAACATTATCAATCAGTATCCAACAACAGCTGGTTTTGACAACCTTCTGTCTGCTGCCTAATGCTTTACAACTCATCAGTAAGGCTTCTTTGTCTGCCCACTCTGAGCTGGTAATTTTAACTGCTTCATGTTGTGTACTGTACTTGTACTTTTAGCATTTGTATGGCTTAAAAGTTAAGTCTTAGTGGGTTTTGGTATTCTTTCTTGCTGTATAATGCTCCATGTGTATCTTAGCTTGCCTACTCAAATGCGCTATACAAAAATCTGTGATGTGTTATTTCGTTTAACTTCTTGCATTTCATTATATTTATAGAAGTTGCAGATTTTTGTACCGTATTACTTAATACAGTTGCCTTTTTGTAATGGCAATTAATTTATATTACAAAAGTTTGTATCTTACTGTAGTCGAAAGTATTAGTTAACTGCCATATTATCTTGACTTTATACTAAAAATACAGTATCAACAGAAGTTGACCCAATCAAGTGGTCAACTGCTGACATGGGGAACTTGTACTGTTTGTGATTTATACATGATTTCCACTATCAAAAAAAAAAAAAAAAAAAAGAAAGAAAGAAAAAGAAAATAAAATCAACACTGTGTAGAACTGACTTGGTAAGTTTTTGTTTCTTGAGTAAGTAGCCAGTTTGGGAGCATGGCATATTACCTTGATGTGGATTCTTCAAGATAAATTATTTACTCATAAGTGAAAATAAATACTACTGTATAATTATTGTTACATCATACATAGTTGCAAATTCACATACATATGTATGAAATAGAAACTTCCAAAATCAGCTGATTTCTTCCACAGCAAGATGTTTTTACTCTGGAAGTATATCTGAAAGATATTGCAGGTTTATTGGTTAAACAGAGATTGGAACCATCCCTACACAATTACTCCATAATATTAAACTGAGGGACATATTTCTGTGACTAAAAATTCTTTTTCAGTAAATTACATGGCAAAGTACGTATACAAAACAGAAGTTACAGAAGCTGATCAAAGGAAATGTATTCTGGGAAAAATAGAAGGTTGCTGAAACGGCTCAATGTTATCCTGTCAAACACTGTTTGAGTAGAAGGTGCTCTCACAATGCAAGTTGTAACAGCTGATGGAAAAACACCACTGCTAAACCAGACTGGAGTTGGTAATGCAGTTACTGAGGTATGCTTTTCTCATGTCACTGTTTTTTAAATCTGCCTCTTAACCAAGACTAGGAATGAAATGAAAGATTTGTAAACTGAGAATTCTTTTTAATTATTTTGTTTTATTCAAATAGGAACTGAAAACCAGCTAATCATGCCTCATTTGATAGCTCTTAAAAGAATTTTCATTAGCTCATTAGCCCTTTGACCTAATAGTTTAAACAAATAAAAACATCTGCTTGTGTCAGCTCTAGGGTTAGTCATCCAGGGCCCAGGTTAACATGAGGATAAGAGGGAGTCCCATATCCAATATGAAAATGAAAGCCATGCCTTTTTCAGCATCTGTAGTTGAAAAGGACGCCTGAAATCAAATAGGTTGTACTGTTAGGTGAAAAAACTGAAGATCATTACCCTTTTCAATCCTCTGCCCTCTTGAGTGAAGTGACTAATTTTTTGTGTGGGTTTGACTGAAGTTTAATTTAAATAGTTCTGAGACACTTATTCTTAATTCTAGCTGTTTAGAATGTATTTTAGCTTTTATCACAGCTATGTTTAGAGAAACCAAAATAGGCTATGTAATGTTTGTTCATTATATAGAAATTCCATAGGAAAATGTACTATGTGGTATTCTGGTGGGTTTGAATGGGATATCATGTTCAGCACTTCCATTGATAATGTCTTAAATATACTTTGATTTTTTAGTCACTGAGTCTCTCTAGGAAAGGCAGATGTGTGAATATTGGTACTAACAGTAGTCTGTGGAGCTCCAGTTACCTGTAGCAGTAAACTGGGAGAGAACAGAAGTATTCTAATTCTTTCAGGTTTATAGAAAACACAACTGAAGTAATCAGCAAAAGGCCCAGCACTTGTCAAAAGAGATACTCTTCACCTGAAAATAGCCTGAATTGCATAATATTCTGAGTTGGAAGGAGCCCACAAGGATCATTGAGTCCAACTCCTGGCCTTGCACAGCACCATCCCCAAGAATGGTGCCAAGTGCCTGAGGGCATTGTAAGGAGACTTCCTGAGCTCTGTCTCGCTTGGTTCTGTGACCGCTTCCCTGGGGAGCTGCTCCAGTGCTGAGACACCCTTTGGGTGAAGAACCTTTCCTGATACCCAACCTAAACCACCCCTGACACAACTCCAGGCCATTCCCTCGGGTCCTGTCACTGCCCACCACAGAGCAGAGATCAGGGCCTGCCCCTCCTCTTCCCCTCATGAGGAAGTTGTAGACTGTGATGAAATGTCCCCTCAGTCTCCTCTTCTCCAGCCTGGTTTTGGTAAAGACCTTATTTATAATAAAAAGCTGTTGCAATAAATTTCTAAGCACAGAAACATATCCTCACACATTAAATAAACTATATATATAACTATATATATTTTTGAAAACCTGCCCACTTGTGAAGGAGCAAGAGGCATGAATTGTACCTAAAAATGGCAACAAATAAAACAAAGAAAGCCACAGTACTTCTTTCTTCACCTATCACCTCACAAAAGTGACATGTCGTGGTTCATTTTATTACTATGCAATGTAAATATAATTTATTGCATTTCAGTGTGCAGTAGAAAGCATTTGTATGTAATAAGTAAAAGAAGACAAAAAATCCTTTTGTGGTTTTGCAACTTCCACATATGAAGAGCTGCCATCTTTCTAAGGAAGCATTGAATATTGAAGGACAGGAACTTTGTAACTTCATTATAAAACAGTGCCAGTTGAAATGCTAAATCATGGAAATCCCAAACAAAAGGTCTGGTGCTGCTCAAATGCATAATCCCAGAGATGGTAGGGAGGAGAGAAGAAATGACTTGCATGTGAATGTTGGAAAACCAAAACAAGTTTAATGGCCAATCACACGGCGAAGTATTTGGTGTTTTCACAATATGACAGTATTGAATTAGGAAGGTTGATAGATATTTCAGGATCAAAAAGGCATCCTGTAAAAAAATGTGAAGAGTGATTTTATAGTAGATTATATTTTGGGCTTGTTAATTTTGACATAGTCTCTTGAAAGTAGTAATTCTTGCTCAGAGAAACTTATACCCAAATTGCTGTGTTATTGTAACTTTCAAAGACCCCATTTCTGACAGTATCAAATTTTAATGCTTGTGAAAACAAGTACCTGTTTGCAAACTACATCAGAACCATTCTATTATAGCATTGACATGTATGGCATTTTTGTAGGACCTGGACAGTCAAGGTCCCTGTGAACGGAATGGCACAATTTAAAATTAGCACTGATTAACTGCACTATCTGGAAAAATTTTCTTTTTTTTTTTTTTGGTCTAACTGTGGAATGAAAAATGCAATATCATCCTTTTCTCAATATTTATCTTGCTGCAGAGAAGAAATTAGCACTTGTTTTCAGTAACATGAGCTATAACAGTCCATTTTTAATAAATTGCCAGCTAGGTAGTTGTAATCCTCTCTGGTTTACACGTGTGTCAGAATTGAAAGAATTGAACTTTCTTCAGTTATTTGAAACTAAGCTTGATTTTTAAAAATGGTAATTGCCTTTTCTATAATATTTTTTGCATGGTTTGCAGGAACATGATTGATGCAGGAAAGTTCACTTTTGCCTTTAAGATATAGAGCATGACCTTTTGGTTACAGTAAATACAGTACTGCAAGTCTGTGAAAGTCATCACATATACTAAAGGTATTGAGACCATTTACCTCACATTCCTTTCTATTAGCTTCCACAATTAACATGATCCACAGCTGAAAAAATAATTCTGGCTGTCAGTGATAAATGGGGTGAAATCGTCAATCACTGAAGTTGACAGTATTATTTTTAAAAGATATTGCAAACAAATGTTTACCCAAAGATAGCAGTATGTTGCTGAAGCTTTTTTCATTCACATGGCATGCTGACTTCAGGGCTCACTCTCAGACTAAAGAGAGCTTATATTCCTTTTCTTGATTTTTTTTTTTTTTAATTCCTGGAACAGGAGGAGCACCAAACATCCATGCAGCAAAGTCTTTTACCTCTTACCAGGAACATTTCTGGTAAACTTCTGAGATCCAAGACAGAACATCAGCTCTTTGTTTATTTGTTTTCTTTCTTCTGGTATGATGTGCAGACCTGAGATTTCAGTTCAGGCCTGTCTCCACGGAGAGGTGCCTGTAATATAGGATTCTACTATTATGGGCTGTATAAATATCTTGCCTATTTTTAGCACTTGCTTTTGATCTCTGAAGAATTTTAATATCAAGGTCAAATATGATGGTTTCATATGTAGACGTATTGGTGACATTTAAGAAAATTTATGCAGTGTTTGCAGATTAGAAATATCTTGTTTTCTAGGTTCTCAATAATAAGGACAAATCTTCTGTAAATCCACTATGGGATGGTAAATTTTGTTCTGTCTGCTTATGAGAGATTCAGAAGGCAGTTTTGCTTTTATGTTTTGGTTCAAAGCAAATTAAACAGAAACTGTTTTTTCTTTCAAGTGTGGTACTTTATACTATGTGGATACCAGTGATTAGCATGTTCTCAAGCACTTGGTCTATGAGAGCCACTTTGCATCTAACCTGATTAAGGCCTGAGGAGGTGTTCACTAGAAGTCAATGTTTCCAGTTAGTGACTGGATCCTTTTAATTTCTGCCTGCTGTAACATTTTGAAACCTCTTGATATTCACATCTGTGTGCACATCACTCTCCCATGTCACACAAGTGTGCCCTCGGAGCGGTTGTTAACACAAATCTGGAATTCCCCTGGCACCCCAGGACCAGTTCATTCATGATTGTCATGAGACACAGTATTCTGTTCTTTCTTCATTAGAGTATGCATGAAGGCTCATTTTCTCATCATCTTTTCTGTTTCCATATCTGCTTGTTTTGGGTGGGAACTCTGGTTCATGCAATAATTGATCTTTGATGCTGGGTTTATCTTTCATCAAAGCAGGAACTATTACAGGAGGATAGTTCTGAGACTCTATTTTATGATCAAAATTACAGGTTACAATACTAATAGCTAGGAAATGTAACCATTAGTAGATGACTTTGACTATAACTGAAAGCCAAGATCAAATGTGCCTTACTCTAGCTGACCATGATGAAAGTTCACATTTACTAATGTCAGAATTAAACCAGAAAAAGTTGCCAAAATTAGATAATGTCTAGTTCAGCATTATCAGAAGGAATGCAGAAGGTGAGCCTGGTGAGGTGTGGGCCACCATTCTGAATGGCACTGAGACTTCAGACACCGAGGCCTCCTCAGGGATGGCCATCTGCCTGAGCCTGTGACCTATCAGCCATAAGATATTTGTTTACTGCGGAGCTGAGGAGAGACACCACTTTGAGGAGGCCTTGGTAGCAGCTCTACCTCACCAGGTAATGCCAACCCACTCCAGAGCCAGGTGCTGATGATCTGCAGCTGCTGCTCCAGTGGAGCTGCTGCTTGCTAGTGGTGCCTCTGCCATGGGAGCCCCGCCTGGCTGG